AGGTGGTGTATTGCCAAACATCCAAGCTGTTCTCTTGCCCAAGAAGACCGAAAAGAAAGCCTAAATTATTTCGAAAGGTATTATGGAATGAAAAAGAAGAAGAATACAGACCATCGTATGATTCCATAGAAAAATCAACCAATCCGTCCTTTTCAGGACGACAAAAAATATTTGAAAAGAGAAAGAAAATTGCGTCAAGCTACATTTGTATGAAAAAAATAAAAATTCTCAATAATTTTGTATTAGCCGTTGGCAGAATAACTGTTTTTCAAGTTCAAGTTCAAGTTTATTTTTTTCATCTGCTCTCTACACATAGTTATTTAATAACTTATTAACTAACAATATTTCTTAAGTCTATAGATTAAAAATACTTAGCATAAAGTCTTATTTTTCTAAGTTTATCTAAATAATACGATAAGGGGGGGTCACACATTTAATGTTACCTAAAATTAATTCAAAAAATTCTATAATACTTTAATGTAAATAAATTAACATTAATGAATTCCCTTAAAAAAAGATGAATAAAAAAAGGGACCCTAAATAACTGTTTTTCGTTGTCAGTTGCATATTTGTGTTGTCGTTGTTGTTGTCTCTTATGATTTCAGGAATAGAGCGAGCGCGAGAGAGGAGAGATCGTGGCGTCACCAAATGAGTATGTATACTATGAGGTAGAAGAAGAAGCATGTGGCAGTTGGTGGTGGCTGGCTGGCTGGGTAGTAATTTTATGTGAAAAAATCGTACCCCGGCGCATTCTTGGGGAAGGCATAAAGTAGACGATTTGCAAGGGAATTTTGGCGGCAAAGTAGTGTTTTGGTGGAAATAAATCGACGCATACATGAAAATAAAAGCGCATTGTGGTGCTATGAAAAATTTGGAACCAAAAAAATAGAATAAAAGTAACATAGTAAAATGAAAATTAACGAAAATAATTACAAAGAAAAATAAAATAACGTAAATTAATAATTAAATTAAATTAAAATAAGAAAATTTTAGAAAATTAAGGCAAAATTAATGAAAATTTAAGCAAATTTTAATGAAAATATTTGAAAATAAATTAAAGAAATTTCGAATAATAAATAGATTTTATGAAAATAAAAGATACTTTAAATGAAATCAAAATTTTTTAAATTAATGAAAAGGAAATAAATTAAATAATTTTAAATAAAAGGAAAAGTGATTTTTAAAAAATAATCTAATGAAAAATTAAATTAATTGAAAATTAAATAAGAAAATTTAACATAAATAAAATAAAATAAAATTAATTTAATGAAGAATTTTTAAATAAAATTCAGTGATTTTAATTAAAAAAAAAAAATAATGATTTTAATTTTCGATACAATTTTAAAGGAAATTATAAGTGAATAATTTAGAAATTTTTAATGAAATTTTTGAAAATAATATGAATCAACGATCTATTTATTAAATATTTTTAACAATTTAAAATAAAATTTTGAGAAAATATGCAACAATGTTTAAAAAAAGTCAAAATGAAATTACTTTGCTACCACAGCATGGTTGTTCTTTAGTAATATTGACTAAACAGCACCAATACATACATAAAGCGACGCTATGTTATACTCATATAATACGAAAAGGAAGAAGAAGAAGAACTAAATGTGTTTAGCGATGTGAGTTGCCGACGGCATGTTTGTGATCGGGAATAAAATACGAGACATCGGTAAAAGAAGGTTTTCGGTGAAAATATTCTGGAGAAAATTGAAACGAGTAAGTATGTATATTTTTTCTTTATTTGATTTTTAGACATTTTTCACGAATTGTGAGAAAAAAAATACGAGAAAGCTGAAAAAGAAAATTATTAGAAATTTTGACATAAAATTCTTATATTTCCTAAGGTAAGTGTTTATTTTTTATTTATTTTAATTTAAAAAATAGTTTTCAACAAGAAAGTATCTCTTTTTTGATATATTTTGTGGTCCTGAAAAGGACCGATTGTTTTGTTGTAAAAAAAGATTTCTCCAAATTGCGTCAAGAATTTGTTTAACCGCCGAAACCGTACAAGGTACGGCCTTGTCTCTTCAAAGCATATACGACATCCATAGCGGTGACGGTTTTACGCTTAGCATGTTCGGTGTAGGTGACAGCATCACGAATAACGTTTTCCAAAAACACCTTCAGAACACCACGAGTTTCTTCGTAAATCAGGCCAGAGATACGTTTTACACCGCCACGACGAGCCAAACGTCTAATAGCTGGCTTGGTAATACCTTGGATGTTATCACGGAGCACTTTCCTGTGACGTTTAGCGCCACCTTTTCCCAAGCCTTTACCACCTTTACCACGACCAGTCATTTTTTCACTTTAGTTTATTTCACTTATCACTTCACGAACAGTTTGAGCACTAATGTTTTTTTCCGGCGATTCCGCTCGTATTTATACAAAATTTGAGGCTCTCTCCAACCATTTAACGCACAAGTAAAGTATGTACAGTTATATGTGTGTGTGTACATTTGCCGTTAGTATTGTATGTTCTCTCTTGTGTGTGCGTGTACATTTGGTATACGGATAGGTAAGAATTCACTAACATATCAACCCCGAAAGTTGATGCTAACAGCACAATTTTCTATAAATACTCGTTTTCGTGGCGATGGCAACGTTATTACAGTGTCTACCGTGTTTGTGTGCATATCTCTAGTGAAGTGAAAAAAATTCAAGTGAAAAATGGCTCGTACTAAGCAAACTGCCCGTAAATCGACCGGTGGAAAGGCTCCCCGTAAACAACTAGCTACCAAAGCTGCCCGTAAGAGTGCCCCAGCCACCGGCGGTGTTAAGAAGCCTCATCGTTTCCGTCCTGGTACAGTTGCTTTGCGTGAAATCCGTCGTTACCAGAAGAGTACTGAATTGTTGATCCGCAAATTGCCCTTCCAACGTTTGGTTCGTGAAATCGCTCAAGATTTCAAAACTGACTTGCGTTTCCAGAGCTCTGCTGTTATGGCCTTGCAAGAAGCCAGTGAAGCCTACTTGGTTGGTCTTTTCGAAGATACTAACTTGTGCGCCATCCATGCTAAGCGTGTCACCATCATGCCTAAGGATATCCAATTGGCCAGACGTATTCGTGGAGAACGTGCTTAAATTCTTGACGTTTTAAAAGCAACAATTTTACAACAAAACAATCGGTCCTTTTCAGGACCACAAATATTTTACAAAAAAGAGATATTTTTACTCAATCTACAATTTTTAGTATTTTTTTGAAATAAATAAAAATAATTTAGGGCTATGATTATTTTTCAACAATTAACATTTTTTATAATAAAGATATATTTTTTGATGTTGTTTTTTTTTTTTCGTTGATGATTTTTCGACACTTTATTTTTTTATTTAATTTTTTTATTTTATTTTGATCGAATATTTTATTTTTTGAATTTTATTTGAATTTTTTGAATTATCCATTTTGATATTTTCCTTTAATTTGCAAAATTATTATCATTTTTGTACTCCCTCTTCGAAAAAAAATGCAATGACTCATAAAAACAACCACCACATACATTTTGCTAACGGGATTTTTTTTGTCCATTTTGTTTTTTTCCTTTTCCCGTTAAACAAAAAATTGCTCTCTTTATGATTTTTGGCGCGACATTTGTCTATTTCTCTCATTTTATTCCCCTTCGATCATTTTTTTCTGTTGTGGACTATTCAATTTAACGGGAAAAATTCTCTGCCTTCAATTTCTACGAATTATTTCATGTGAATTTTAAAAATTTCCAGCTAAAATGTTGCCCTCCTATTTAATTTTTTTCAGGAATGATGTATGAAATATGTTTTTTTCATTTTCAGCAAAATTTTGAATTGTTTTATACGCATTTTAAGACATTTAAATATGAATTTTCTCCATATGGAATTACAAAATTATTTATGCCCGATGTATTTAGAGAAATTGGTAATAATTTATTATTTTCAAAAATTGAAGAAGAAAATAATTGATTTGTTCAGAATTTTGATGTAAAATATAATTAAAAGTATTATAAAAAGGAATTCCAATAATATCTACCTTTGAAGTTGATCGAAAATCATTTTTGTAAAACGCAATTAATTTCATGACATTTCTAAGTGTTCTAGTTGATATTTGCCTGTAAAGAGGAATTTCTTTTTGGGAATATTTTTTTATAAAATTAACAAAAAATTGACAAAATAACGTAGAAAATGGCTTTTAATACTATTTTTTATAAATTATAGAACAAATTATGTTAAAATTCACAAAAAATATTGCAAAATGAAAATACATAACCGTTTGTCAGTGAATGCCTGTACATTGGTAGTATGAAGTATTCTGGGGATTTTGTAACTTTTCCCCGTAAATTATGACTTTTTGTGAATAATGTTATATTTTGATGTAAATATACAAATTCTGAAATGTTTTTTAAGAAATTTTTATAAAACTTATTAAGATTTGAGCTTTCAAATTTATTTCAAGAAAAACTTTTCTTCATTGAAATTATGCCAACAAGAGGATTTCTGCTGTCATAGACCACATAATAATTTCAATTTTTTCACATAGTAAAATATGAAATTGCATCAATATTTTTCTTTGATCCTAAAGTAAACATATCAGGCTACATTTTCAAAAAGAATTTTCAATTAAATTTTCGTAAAAAATTTGATTTTTTTAAATTTTAGTTGGAAATTTGTGATTACATTTTTATAATCTGCCAAGTTAAACGTTTATAATTCACAAACGGCAAGTGATAATTACACCAAACTTTCTTTAAAACATAGCCTGAAATCTATACTTTAAAGGTATAAAACATTTTTAGTGAAAATTATCAAAGCTTCTTCAGGAAAATTTAATTTCTCCGAAAACTTTTGTAAAAAATTAAACACGCTTCCACACAATCTTTCGAAAAATTTACCAATTGACTACTATGCACATCTCATCTTTTCGATGTACCTACACTTTAGCTCGCCGCTAACAAAAATAATAGTACACATAAATTTGTGAGTGTATTTGTGTTAACAGTGAAATATAAACCAAACAGTGAATAACCATGTCTGACGCCGCCGTTGTTGAAGCCACCGCCTCCCCAGTTGCCGCTGTTGAGAAAAAGGCACCAAAAAAAGCCGCTGCCAAAGCAAAGAAGCCATCAGCTGCCCCTACCCACCCTCCAACCCAGCAAATGGTTGATGCCGCCATCAAGACCCTGAAGGAACGTGGAGGTTCATCATTGCCCGCCATCAAGAAATACTTGGCCAGCACCTACAAAGTAGATGCCCAAAAATTGGCCCCCTTCATCAAGAAGTACTTGAAAGGTGCCGTTGCCAGTGGAAAATTGATCCAAACTAAAGGTAAGGGTGCTTCTGGTTCATTCAAATTGTCTGCTTCGGCCTCTAAGGAACCCAAAGCTAAGACTGCTGAAAAGAAGAAGAAGGCCCCAGCCGCTGGTGACAAAAAGAAGAAGGCTGCCGCCCCTAAAAAGGCCGCTGGTGAGAAGAAGGCAGCTGCCAAAAAACCCTCTGCCGCCAAGAAGACCGCTGAAAAGAAGAAGGCCGACAAAACAAAGGCAAAGGCTGCCAAGAAAACCGGTACAGTTAAAGCTAAACCAGCAAAGACCGCCGCCAAAGCATCTGCCACTAAACCAAAGGCACCCAAGGCAAAAACTGCAGCTGCTAAGCCCAAAAAGGCCGCAGCAGCAAAGAAGCCAGCTGCTAAGAAAACCGCCGCCAAGAAGTAATTTTTCCCAGAAAGATTACTTTTTCCACAATATTTTCGATATTCGAAAACATACTATCTAACAGCCCTTTTCAGGGCTACAAATTAAATTAAAAAAGAGAAAAATATTTTCAACAGTTATCGTATATATTTTTGTTACCTAAATAAATAAGTAAATTTGTACACGTGTTTGATTTTGGGAAAAAAAATTACTTTCGCTAATTACTGTTCTTATTAGGTAATTTTATTGAGCCAATATAATCGAGGACGCCACTGGATTATTTTTTAACCCAGGTCATAAAAGATAATAAAATATTTAAATTTTTTCCTAATTACCCACAGGTCATAATTCTCGAAAATCCCCATAATTTGGTCAATTTTATAATTTCTACTTAATTTTGAAAATTTTGTCATTTTCATATTCTCTCAAATTTCACAAATTTCACCCAGAAATGACATTTTGGCAAAATATTTACATTTTCCATCAATATATTTTTTCCTTTGAAAATTTCTGCCTCAGCCTTATATTTCGTTGCTTTGCCGTTGTGCTGTAACAAAATGCTCACACATACATGATGCCCATTCGATGTTGATCAACGACGGCAAGGCAAATCACCACTAACACACGCACACATACACGACGACGATGGCTGTTATAGCATATCGCACAAGCAAGCAAGCAAAGGTTACACATAGGCACATATGCGAGTTAGCTAAATGCATGGAAAAATCATTGTATAGAGAAAAATATATTTCTTATGGAATTTTATTCGTTTATTACTAAATAATGATAAATTGTAGCTTCAACAAAAATATGATCTCTTTTGAAATGTTTTTTGTGGCCCTGAAAAGGGCCTTTTAAGGTAGTATTTCGACGCATGAAAATGAAAAATATCAAGACATTTACTTGGAGCTGGTGTATTTAGTAACAGCCTTGGTACCTTCACTGACGGCGTGCTTAGCCAATTCACCGGGCAACAATAGACGGACGGCGGTCTGGATTTCCCGACTGGTGATGGTCGAGCGCTTGTTGTAGTGGGCCAAACGAGAGGCTTCGGCGGCAATACGTTCGAAGATATCGTTGACGAAACTGTTCATGATGCTCATGGCCTTGGAGGAGATACCGGTGTCGGGATGGACTTGCTTCAACACTTTGTAAATGTAGATAGCGTAACTCTCCTTACGCTTGGTACGTCTCTTCGACTTATCGCCCTTGGTAATGTTCTTTTGGGCTTTGCCGGCCTTCTTTGCTGCTTTACCACTGGTTTTAGGAGGCATTTTCACTTATTATTTTTTTGAATCACACAAACACTTTTAACACTGTTCACAAATGATAACCAAAACGGGCAGCTATACAGAATTTGTAGATTGTAGTCGACAAGAATTTCAGGTAGTCACAGCTAGCAGGCACACACAAGGCAAACCACCCCATTATTGAAGAAATGTGTGTGTGAGAAAAGTATAAATAGCACGTTTCGATCCGAAAATTTTTATCATTTGTGTTTTTCAGTGCTTAAGTGAAGTGTTTAAAACTAAAATAAAGTGAAAATGTCTGGTCGTGGTAAAGGTGGCAAAGTTAAGGGAAAGGCAAAGTCCCGTTCCAATCGTGCTGGTCTTCAATTCCCCGTCGGTCGTATCCATCGTCTGTTGCGCAAAGGCAACTATGCTGAGCGTGTTGGTGCCGGTGCTCCCGTCTATTTAGCCGCTGTCATGGAATATTTGGCTGCTGAAGTCTTGGAATTGGCTGGCAATGCTGCCCGTGACAACAAGAAGACTCGTATCATTCCCCGTCACTTGCAATTGGCCATCCGTAACGACGAAGAATTGAACAAATTGCTGTCTGGCGTTACCATTGCCCAAGGTGGTGTATTGCCAAACATCCAAGCTGTTCTCTTGCCCAAGAAGACCGAAAAGAAAGCCTAAATTATTTCGAAAGGTATTATGGAATGAAAAAGAAGAAGAATACAGACCATCGTATGATTCCATAGAAAAATCAACCAATCCGTCCTTTTCAGGACGACAAAAAATATTTGAAAAGAGAAAGAAAATTGCGTCAAGCTACATTTGTATGAAAAAAATAAAAATTCTCAATAATTTTGTATTAGCCGTTGGCAGAATAACTGTTTTTCAAGTTCAAGTTCAAGTTTATTTTTTTCATCTGCTCTCTACACATAGTTATTTAATAACTTATTAACTAACAATATTTCTTAAGTCTATAGATTAAAAATACTTAGCATAAAGTCTTATTTTTCTAAGTTTATCTAAATAATACGATAAGGGGGGGTCACACATTTAATGTTACCTAAAATTAATTCAAAAAATTCTATAATACTTTAATGTAAATAAATTAACATTAATGAATTCCCTTAAAAAAAGATGAATAAAAAAAGGGACCCTAAATAACTGTTTTTCGTTGTCAGTTGCATATTTGTGTTGTCGTTGTTGTTGTCTCTTATGATTTCAGGAATAGAGCGAGCGCGAGAGAGGAGAGATCGTGGCGTCACCAAATGAGTATGTATACTATGAGGTAGAAGAAGAAGCATGTGGCAGTTGGTGGTGGCTGGCTGGCTGGGTAGTAATTTTATGTGAAAAAATCGTACCCCGGCGCATTCTTGGGGAAGGCATAAAGTAGACGATTTGCAAGGGAATTTTGGCGGCAAAGTAGTGTTTTGGTGGAAATAAATCGACGCATACATGAAAATAAAAGCGCATTGTGGTGCTATGAAAAATTTGGAACCAAAAAAATAGAATAAAAGTAACATAGTAAAATGAAAATTAACGAAAATAATTACAAAGAAAAATAAAATAACGTAAATTAATAATTAAATTAAATTAAAATAAGAAAATTTTAGAAAATTAAGGCAAAATTAATGAAAATTTAAGCAAATTTTAATGAAAATATTTGAAAATAAATTAAAGAAATTTCGAATAATAAATAGATTTTATGAAAATAAAAGATACTTTAAATGAAATCAAAATTTTTTAAATTAATGAAAAGGAAATAAATTAAATAATTTTAAATAAAAGGAAAAGTGATTTTTAAAAAATAATCTAATGAAAAATTAAATTAATTGAAAATTAAATAAGAAAATTTAACATAAATAAAATAAAATAAAATTAATTTAATGAAGAATTTTTAAATAAAATTCAGTGATTTTAATTAAAAAAAAAAATAATGATTTTAATTTTCGATACAATTTTAAAGGAAATTATAAGTGAATAATTTAGAAATTTTTAATGAAATTTTTGAAAATAATATGAATCAACGATCTATTTATTAAATATTTTTAACAATTTAAAATAAAATTTTGAGAAAATATGCAACAATGTTTAAAAAAAGTCAAAATGAAATTACTTTGCTACCACAGCATGGTTGTTCTTTAGTAATATTGACTAAACAGCACCAATACATACATAAAGCGACGCTATGTTATACTCATATAATACGAAAAGGAAGAAGAAGAAGAACTAAATGTGTTTAGCGATGTGAGTTGCCGACGGCATGTTTGTGATCGGGAATAAAATACGAGACATCGGTAAAAGAAGGTTTTCGGTGAAAATATTCTGGAGAAAATTGAAACGAGTAAGTATTTATATTTTTTCTTTATTTGATTTTTAGACATTTTTCACGAATTGTGAGAAAAAAAATACGAGAAAGCTGAAAAAGAAAATTATTAGAAATTTTGACATAAAATTCTTATATTTCCTAAGGTAAGTGTTTATTTTTTATTTATTTTAATTTAAAAAATAGTTTTCAACAAGAAAGTATCTCTTTTTTGATATATTTTGTGGTCCTGAAAAGGACCGATTGTTTTGTTGTAAAAAAAGATTTCTCCAAATTGCGTCAAGAATTTGTTTAACCGCCGAAACCGTACAAGGTACGGCCTTGTCTCTTCAAAGCATATACGACATCCATAGCGGTGACGGTTTTACGCTTAGCATGTTCGGTGTAGGTGACAGCATCACGAATAACGTTTTCCAAAAACACCTTCAGAACACCACGAGTTTCTTCGTAAATCAGGCCAGAGATACGTTTTACACCGCCACGACGAGCCAAACGTCTAATAGCTGGCTTGGTAATACCTTGGATGTTATCACGGAGCACTTTCCTGTGACGTTTAGCGCCACCTTTTCCCAAGCCTTTACCACCTTTACCACGACCAGTCATTTTTTCACTTTAGTTTATTTCACTTATCACTTCACGAACAGTTTGAGCACTAATGTTTTTTTCCGGCGATTCCGCTCGTATTTATACAAAATTTGAGGCTCTCTCCAACCATTTAACGCACAAGTAAAGTATGTACAGTTATATGTGTGTGTGTACATTTGCCGTTAGTATTGTATGTTCTCTCTTGTGTGTGCGTGTACATTTGGTATACGGATAGGTAAGAATTCACTAACACAATTCTCAGATGACTTTTTGGCTGATGGAAGCACAAGTCAGTCTAATACAAATAGGCTCAGGCTTATCAAACCCAACGATATTGGATCAGTTCTTAGGAGATTAAATAACAAAAAAAGTTTCGGGGATGATAAAATCCCCAACTATGTACTAAAAAGAACAAAATTTACTACATGGCATTATCTAGCTTTGATATTTAACCACTGTATAAATATTGGATATTTCCCACAAAAATGGAAAATCTCTAAAATAATCCCAATACTTAAACCTGGGAAAGACCCTACAGATATAGCCAGCTATCGTCCCATTTCTTTATTAAGTTCATTTGGGAAACTATTTGAAATCTTTATACTTGAAAGAATTAATATACACATAGATGATAAAAACATACTCAAAGATTTCCAATACGGGTTTAAAAAACAAACTTCTACCACTCAAGCACTAATGACGTTAACTAGTAAAATTTCCAATGGACTAAACAAAAGAAAAGCCACCATAGCAGTTAGCCTTGATTTCAGCAAGGCGTTTGACACTGTTTGGCAAGAAGGAATAGTGTACAAAATGCATATGAAATATGCATTTAATAAAGAATCAACAAGAATGATTAAAAATTACCTTAA